TGATTTCTATTGAATTCAATAGCGGTGGCATTCGAAAGCGAATAGAATCGCCCCCGACTAGAAACGCTCCAGAAGGCTTCTGGTCAAAATGTCCATCGAGACGAAATGTCCATCGAGGCAAAATGTCCAATCGGGTCAAAATGGCCACGTCAAAGTGCTGGTTGAATGACTGCCCACTCCCCTCTGTAGTGCCTTCGCGGACCCGGTTTAACACAGAAGGCGCAACATTCTTTCGTTTTCTCTTTCGTCGGCCAAGGTCAGTGGAGGCACAATTTTGTTCCAGGGATTTCACCCCACTGTCGGGGACACTGGGTCCGATCGGCCGGTGACCTCGTTTAACACAGAGGGTGCTTCTCGGTACGAGATGATTTGACCTGTTTTGCGCACGGTCTGCCTTCTGATAATGTTACCAGTGACTGATTCTGACGGGGGTGCAGTCATCTGTCCCCTTTATCAAGGGAAGGAAGCTAGGATATCAGCGAACAAAGTATGCGATGCCGATGGACGACTAAAATAAGGTGATGACGAATGCACGTGCAATGAGTAATCTCTTCTTGAGTCTCGTTTGAAACGCTTCTGCAGCTAACGCCCGCATGTCAACTTTGTAGACCTGGACAGGAAGCACGCTCTTTGGTTTTTAAACATCAAAATTGGCTCAATATAAAATAACATTGTAGAGATTACGAGGAAAAAATGCAAAAAGATTCAGACAAAAAACACATAGAACACAACTTTTTTTTTTTCGTTCGTGTCTGAGTTTTTCATTCCTTTTGGTTATGAACCAACTAGCTAATCCAAAGTAGCACAATTTTATCTTTGCTTCGATCACCTTAGCCTAATTACAAAATATATTATTGCATTTGCTGCCGTTGTTATTTGTCAGTTTTAATTATACTGCCTTAGGTGTCACCTAATTTTCAGGGTGTTAAGGAAGGAAATCCTGTTTTAAGAATCACAAAAATAAGCTGGATATCACGATGAGCCTCAACTCCGCCAGTATATAACTCCAGCGGTCGGAGCAAGGAGCCCAAGTTTTGAGAACACAGCGCAGTCTGATTCATATTAGGCAATGCTTAGATCCTTTCAGTGCTGCAATGGTGGTCATAAGAGCCCGCGAATACGTGATGATGAGTAGCGTCCGGGAACGGGTCCGATTAGGTAGTTATTTGAAAATTAAAAAAATAATAATCACCCCCAACCTTTTAACCGGAGCACTAATCTGGAATTTGACATTTTCTTCCAACAGCTAGGGTTACATTTTAGCGTATATTAGTTTTTTTTTTTTTTTCGCGATTAGAAATGGTTTTGTTTTCTCAAAAAACGTATGTAACATTTCCGTAAGTCATCGCATTACTACCCCTTTAGCGAAAACCCAGGGCGCGTGTAAGTATTCGGAATATCTAAAGACGTCTGTCTCAGAATTATGCAGCGTTATAACCTGGGACAACGATGCAAAATGTTCAACAGGTCAAAATTTCCATCGGGTAAAATGTCCAAAAAGTCAAAATATTCGACGAGACAAAATGTCCCATCCGGTCAAACTGTCCAGAGTCAAAATGTCCACCGCGACGAAGTGTCCAATCGGGTCAAAATGTCCAAAGAGTCAAAATGTCTAACTAGACGAAATGTCCAACCGGGTCAAAATGTCTAACGAGACGAAATGTCCAGCGAGACCAAATGTCCAATATTGGACATTCTGACCTATCGGACATTTCGTCTCGTTGGACATTTTGACGTGCCATCCTCCACGAGAGGATTCCGTACCGGGGAAGTTTCGGAACACAACAAAAGGTGTAATATCGCCTTTGTTATCTAAACTATTCCAACAGAGCCTCGGCTCCGAGGATATTCCATCCAATTGACCTTCTGCAATTTTTAAACCCATTAAAAAAAAAAAAAAAATCAGGTGACGGCCGGGTCAAATTTGTCAAGTTATCGTCCCATAATTCCCACAATTATACTTGTAAGCTAATGGAACATGTCATCTTTACGAACATCATGGCACATTTAGATTAAATCGATTTCTTATGATGTTAGGTTTATTGATTTTGCGAAGGCATTTGACACAAACGATTAATTAAAAAATCTTCATCACCTTCAAATTAACCCATCCACCGTTGAATGGATATCGGCCTTTCTTCAATCAGGATAAACAATGGAGTCTCCTCATGTACCCATAATCTCTGGGGTTCCTCAGGGAAGTGTCCTCGTATATTTAATATTTTTATATATATTAATGACCTCCTATTAAACACTGAATCCACCATCAGGCTATACGCCGTTGACTGTGCGCTGTATCGAACAATGGAATTCCCAAGTGATCACGTAGCTTCTCAAATTTACCTCAGTAAAATCGACCAGTGGTGCCCTACTTGGCAAATGAAAATCAACTCAAGTAAATGTCGTCTATTACAAATAAGAAAATGACATCATCTTTCTAATATCCTATTTTAAACCAAGATATTAAAAGTGTAATTTCGTATAAATATTTAGAAATCCATTTCACTCTCAATTTGTCCTGGAAAATGTATAAACAACGCACAGTCAGTAATTTAAGAAAGGCATTTTTTTAACGAAACATTCATTCTGCTCATAAGACAATGAAACTTCTTGCGTATAAAACAATTATTCTTCCTAAACTAGAATATTCTTGCATAATATGAAATCCACACCAAAACTATTTAACGCTACAACTAGAAGCTTTTCGAAACAAAGCTGCACATTTCATCTGTAGCGAGTACTCTCCCCAAATAAATATCACGTTCTTAAAAAAAGGGGGGGGGGGGGGATTAGTTTTTTTAGAAAGCCGCTTGCTCTTTTTCATGACATTTATAACATCGAACCTCTTTCCGAAACAAGCTACTTCATACCCGCCTGGTTGATGCATCTGCCAGGGTTGATTATTCACGCAATGTCGAACCAATTAAATCACGAACTAACTTGATTTTTTTTTTCCCCTGACCCTACCCATAAGGGCCGGAGTAGTCTCCCTGAACAAATTGTCACTCGTTCAGATCCGATATGGTTTAAACTAAGTTGCGGAGAGCTTATTTGTGAACTCAATATTTTCTTGGTGGCTTTTGTATTTTTAATAATATTGCTTTTGATGCGCTTGCGATGCACGGAGTTGAGAAAAATGTATCGCTTTATCTTGAGTGTTTCGGGTTTTTATAATATTTACATCGTTACATATCTAGTGCTGGCAGTTCACTTATTAACATTACTGTATATAAGTATATATACTATGTGTCACAGCATTTATTACTAGCTATTTTTTTCTTTAGATGAATGTATATGTCATTGTAGATGATGTATATGATTACGACTTCTCCCAATTTCTTGCTTACACCCTCATGTAATGCATGCATGTAATGCATCCTTTAAGGTAAAATAAATGAAATTAAAAAAACAAATGCAATCCTGGTGAGGTCGACCTGGCTGGAGGGGTCTGTTAGGAACCATGGCTAATAGAGTGGAATCATCATTATTCACTGCGTGCTTGATACGGCCGTTGCAAAGATTGATAAGGCGCGATATCTATACTTATATATGCTCTCTTCGATTCTTTCACGCATTGTGAACACTGTTCGGAATGCATAGGAAAGAATGACAGATAATACTTGTCTCGTACTGTTCGGCGAACAGTACCAGACAATAGCAGCGGAGCGCGACAGGTGGTGTGATACACAGATTGCGTAAATCCGAACTACGAACCAATCAGATTGCTACCCATATAATTTGGTCTGTCTAATCTACTGCTTTTGTTCTTTTTTTTATTTTTATTTTTTTCTGGGGAGGTGAGGTAGTGTTAGAAACGCTACAAATAGTTGTTTTTTTTTTTTATTACATGTTACCCCGCAGCGCCAAGAGGCATTATAGCAGGGGGGGGGGGGGGGGGTGAGGATACATTTGCACAAGAATTACAGTTCTGACATGCAGAAACACACAGGAAAAAAAAAAAAGAAAAAAAAAACAAGTTCGCAAAAAAAAAAAAAAAAGACTAAAAGCAACAACAATTGTGTTGCAAAATTATAACCCCTGAACAAATGGATCCACAATGGTATAAAACTTTAGCCAACAGTGTAATTTTCCGTACGAATAAAGATATGAAGACAGATAGCACAGTGTTACAGACCGAGCGTTCTGAATGCACATTCTCAAAGAGAAAATTCACTTTCCTTACTCCCAGCTATCACGTGACAGTTTATCAAAAAAATTATCAGACGATGGAATTGAAATAGTTTCCTCTGGCAATTCGTTCCATTGTTTAACGGTATTGGGGAAAAATGAGAATTTGAATATATTAGTCCTAGCTGAAAATTCTCTAATTTTTTTGGAATGATCTAATCTACGTGACACGAAGTGTGGCAGTTCAATGAATTTAGTTTTATCCAGTCCTGTTTGATCATGATAGATTCTATGTAAAAATTTTAAACGGAGGCGGCGTCTTCTAGAGTTCAGAGGTTCCCAGTCTAATTGACATTTTAGGGCAGTAACACTTTGTTTGAAATTGTAATTTTTTGTAACGAACCTAGCAGCTTTGCTCTGGATTTGTTCTATTTTCTGTTCTAGATAGCGTTCTTTAGGGTCCCAAAGCACGCAAGCGTATTCTAAAATAGGCCTGACATTAGAAAGAAAAGGGGTATTTTTTAAATTGGGAGGACAATCGTGAAAATTCCTCCTCAAGAAATTTAGCACACGGTTAGCTTTGACCGTCATGTAGTCTACATGCGCGCTCCACGATAGCTTTTCCGAAAACTGAACGCCTAAATATTTTACTTTGTCCACCTTTTGTAGTGGGGCGCCATCAATTAGATAGCTAAAAGAAACAGGTTGTCGTTTTCTGGTAAATGTTATGTGATTGCATTTGGGAATATTTAAATTCATTTTCCATATTTCGCACCATCTTGTAAGGCGATCAATATCTTCCTGTAGCTCTAAACAGTCTGGATATGTCTTTATTTTGCGGTATAAGACGCAATCGTCCGCATATCTCGGTGCCAATAGGAAGCTGAAACTTCCTCATCATGACAAGAATCCGAGCACCGGAAAAGCGATATAAGAGCGAACCCGATCCGCTCCGTGTGACAAAAGCGGCGAAAATCTTCGCTCACTCGAGGAGTCTGACGGCGAGCTGAACAACGGTCCAGGATGCGCGCTAAGGTACGTCCTCTGTGCGAGCAACGATGCCCTTGTAATTTGAAGCGCGTAATTTCAATTTGAGCCGCGTAATATATTTCTTCCGTATACTTACAACTTGAGGAAGACGGAACTTAATTATGCACGCAAACTGTTCCGCGACGACAGTGTAGACTTTTAACTGAGACTTGAAGAGTTTCATCGATGTTATAAGAGACCTCACTAAACCTGAAAAGTGACACCTCGGAAGCTTCAAAGTGGCAGCCCACGTAAACATTTTCACGGTTAAGTATTTTAGCTTTGGAAAAGCCAAGTTTCTTAGCAAAGCATAAGTATAGACCATCAGCTGTACTCTTTCAATGTTTCGGTAGAATGTCTGAAAAACAACATGGTGGTTGCTAGGCGAGTTGGTGCTGAAATTTTGAGATGGTGGCGTTTTTAGACGGGTGAGAGGGGAAAACAGGGCAACACAATGCGCTAACTTTAACTGTTTATTAAGAAAAAAAACATGGTTAGAAATACTCTGCGCCATCGCGTCACCCAACCAGTACCCTGCCCCGCCGCTGTTTGCAAGAAACGGGTCTCTTTATCCGCCAGATCGATCGAAGCCACGTTGAGATCCCCGTGACTTGTTATCGGGTCTGCCTCTATCATTTCTCGTACCGTTTTATCCTTGTGTCTACTGATGATCGTGCATGACTTGAACCCAGGTTTGCATCCTGTGTCACGGCTGTGAATGCATATGGATGCAAACCTGGGTTCAAAACTCAAGGAGTGTCTGAAGAAGACACCCAGCAACAAAGATACGTGACGTGGTAAGCAACCATAAGTGGTCAAGTTTTATTGTCTTTCTTTAAACGCTCGCAAAAAAGAAAAAGAAGCGCTGATGCGCTGTTTACACCAGTCGTGGTCTGTGGTCCGATCGGGACCTCACGTTGGAGAGAAAAACCGTTTCATCCACGAGAGCGGAATGCGCTTTTCCTGGGAATCCGGCGGTCGCGGTCCGTTCGCTCATTTGTATACGCAGCGGGGTGAAAGAGAAGCGGTAGCAGGCAGCCGCTCTCGTCATCAGTCACCCGCTGACAGCCCGGAACGACGAAAGGTGTCATCCTGCGCGCGTCGCCACCACACTGGCTTCGACGATGTCTCCGTGACACCTTGACCCCGCGCAGCGGGAATGGCATGCGGTGCCCGAGCTCACCTGTATGTTGATTGGGGAATGCTCTCGGAGAACTCTCCTGTGGAATGTTTTCACCGCTTGCCCCCTTTGGGCTGCCTTCCATGTGCATGTGTATCTGTTTAGTTCGTTGTTTAGGTAGGACGTCATCGGCAAGGACGCGTGGAAGCGACGACTCGACCCCGAGAGAGCGACGGTCGACGCCATATTTGTTTTTCTTTCCCGGTTTTTTTTTTTTTTTCAGAGGTAAAACAGAGTTGAGTAGTGAGAGAGGAGGGTGAGATGAGTGGCAAAGTGTGCTGCCGTTCGGAGATAGGTTCTTCTGGTTCTGCCGAGCTTAAAACTCGTTGTTGCACGGAAAAGAGCAAACCAGAAGCTCTTCTGAGGCTTCTATGAAAGGGTCACTCTGGTCAAATACGAGCACTCCCAAAATATTACACTAAAGGCCCGTTCACACTTTTGCAACCGAGTGCGACCGAGAGAGACCAAACCGGTTTTTAAGCCTCTTGCGATCTCTTAGGACCAGCTCCGCTCAGTGCATCCGGTCCCAAGAAGTCTTTCTCGGTCGTACCCGGTTGCAAGAGTGTGAACGCGCCTTAATGTGAACCGTGGTCCACCCTAAAACTCATATTAAAAATGCTACCACCAGCTTCTCAGCGGGCATTCACGCCTTGGCTGTTTCTCAAGCAACCTTGTGCCCTGACGTCATCTACTCAGGGAGGTTACCTGTTCGTACTGCCACTTCTTTCGACGTGTTTTTCTGCTGCGTTTTCAGCCGTCCCAAGGGACGATTTCTGCCTGCTATGTTATTGTTTAGCGCCGTAGTGTGTAAAGGTCTGTTCACACGATGCATCTTTTAGGCGCGCAACAGTTTCGCGACACTCAAGTTTCGCGAAATTTGCTCGTTCACACGTACCGCTTCACGTGCAACAACGATGACGTTTAGACTCGCGAAAATAGTTTGGGTGTTGACCATAAAGTGGCGCTTCAGTTGAAAGCCAACATCTTCATCATCACCATTAGCCATTCAGCGTCGTGTTCTCCATCTCCCGCCACATTCTAAGAGTCAAAACGCAGGCGAGCTGGTGAACAATCATAATTAAGAAATAAAACCTTAAGACAAGGAAACTAAAAGGGACATACACACCACCGTCTTAAAACCAGCACAGCATACCTCCAGTGGATCAACATGGCGGGCAGTCGCGTGTTTACGCTGCTCCGCGTCTGCTGCATTTTCGCTACAATTCTTAGACTCCGAATGGACAACACATCACTGCGTGACTGCTGGAATGACTTCGACCCCCTTCGCGTCAACTCAGCGGCCAGTTCAGCCTACATCCGCTTTCCCCCAAGCTTTTCTGTGTGGTCGGCCGTCGGACCCACGTCCGCTAGGCCTAGCTCCGCAACGACGACGGAACAGCGCTTCTCTCAGTCACGTCGACCAGGCCGCCCACCGTTTCCGGCCGGCATCCTGGGACAACGCCTTCGCCATCGCCTCGTGTGCTGTCTGCTGCTGGCGGGGGATATCGCTTCAAACCCCGGGCCGCCACATCCTTCCTGTGCTAGCTGTGCGACGCGGGTACGGGACAATCAAGCGGCCGTCTGCTGCGACTCGTGCGAGGGATGGTTTCATCGCGGCTGTCTCCACATGTCGCTGAGCCAGTACCGCAAGTTGGGTACCAGCAGCGATCCATGGTTCTGCCTTGTTTGCTCACTGCCTCCCTTTTCAGACGACTTGTTCGACAGTGCCCCCGACCCTCCCTCTCCCATTGCACCTGGTGCCCCCGACGTTTCGCTGCTGTCCAGGTCAGCTGGCATCAACAAAGGCACCACGTTCTGGTACAATAACTGCAGAAGCGTGAAAAACAAGATTGTTGACCTGCAGGCTCTTGCTTGCTCGCTTCCAGCGTGTTCTGTTATTTTGCTGTCCGAGACCTGGCTCGACGACAGCGTCGCCGATAGCGAATTGTTACCCCTCGACACGTACAGTGTTCTCCGTAGGGATAGAGGAAGTCGAGGAGGAGGGGTTCTCATGGCAGTTCCTTCGTGCCTTTGTTTCAACCGCCGAAGGGATCTCGAACACACGGACCTCGAGGCGTTATTTGTGGAGTTGTTTTTCCCGAGAGGGACCGTGCTTGTGTGTTGTGTTTACTGTCCGCCCGCCACCCGCCAAGAAGCGTACCGCTTCCTCGATTCGTCTCTAGAGTCTGTTGCAGCTGACCGATACGCAAACATTCTCGTGTTTGGCGATTTCAACGCCCATGTCGACTGGTGCACGTTCGATGATCCTGTTCCACGCGACACCTCTGACGACATTCTCCTCGAGACCATGTCTACCGCAGGCTTGATTCAGGCGTGCCGACAACCCACGTACGTGACCCGCGATGGCCTCCAGAGTCACCTTGACCTTGTGTTTACCTTCGACGTGACTCGCATTGAGTCCGTCAATGTGTCTGAGGGCCTCCATGGCAGCGACCATTCAGCCATAGAACTGCGCTACGCAGTCTCCTTACCACGCACGGGCCATTCTGCTCAGATGCTTTCGAAGTTCGACCAAATGGACTTTGGTCACATGGCCCAACTCGCCCACCTGGCACCTTGGTGCATGACCACGTTAGGGCCCGATTGGTCATCAAACTACGAACTGTGGTGCGATTTTCTTTTCGCCATTCAGAAAGACTGTGTTCCCACAACTGTGTGCTCGTCAAAACGGAAACGTGCACCCTGGATTACTTCCGACATAATTAAAGCCGCTCGCCATAAGCGAGCTCTCTTTCGTAGAGCGCATCGTTCCAAGTGCCCCACTGCACTAGAGTTGGCGAAGAACCACCAGCGAGCATTGAAGGCCACTATTTACCGCGCCCATCAAAAATGTGTCCGCAACATTGCTGAGAAGGCCAGAACTGATCCTAAGATCTTCTGGGCCTATATCAACCGTCTGCGCTCAAAATCCCAGCGACCCTGCTTCAAGCTGAACGGGAAGGTTGTGGACACATCCCAAGGTGTCGCCGATATGTTTGCTGATCATTTCTCAACCATAAACGGTTCTTCCGGCACCCCTCCTACAACACCATGTGTGCAGCAAGCAACAGCTGCCCCAACTACTCAGCCAGTTGCAAGCAATGACAACCGGCCCGAACTCCCTTCAGTGACATTCAGCACCGAGGCGCTGCAAGCAGCGCTCTCCAAGGTCAAGAACTCCCGGAGTGCGGGGCCAGATGGCATTACCCCCCTCTGGTTTAAGGTGTTAGCCTCGCAGGTGCTACCAACTACGTCCAGGTTGCTGCAGGGGATTTTCGACAGCGGAGTAGTTCCCGAGGAGTGGCGCCGAGCTCGGGTCTTGCCGCTTCACAAAGGGAAAGGAAAACCTGTCGACGAGCCGAAGCACTACCGCCCAGTCTCGATTACCTCGATTGTGTGCCGCACGTTCGAGCGTGTGCTGAACGCCCAACTCCTCGAGTTCTTGGAGACGACCGGCTACCTGTCCGATTCGCAGCACGGCTTTCGCTGCAACCGTAGCTGCGAGACTGCCCTTGCCACGGTGACGCATTTTGTAAGCAATCACATGGACAATCGCGTCACTACAGATCTCATTCAACTTGATTTGAGCAACGCATTCGATACGCTAAGCATCAAAATTCTAATTGAAAAACTCACTAGAGCAGGCATCTGTGGCCCTCTTCTTGTCTGGCTCACAAGGTTTCTTTGCGGCCGGAGCCAACGGGTTTTGTACGGAGGTTCGTGCTCGGTAGCATCTGCTGTCTCGTCGGGAGTTCCTCAAGGCTCGGTGCTAGGCCCGACCCTGTTTTTGCTCTACGTGAACGACATGCCTCGAAGTGACAAATGC